TCGGATCCATAGATCTTTTCCAACTGTTCAGCAACATCCTTTGTTCCATCTGGGCTTCCATCATCTATGATTATAATTTCATAGTTGATTCCACTAAAATTTAAAAATTTGAATTTGTATTAATGTTTGGAGACTTTTTCAAATTTAAAAATAATTTAATAATTGATTTCTCACTAGTATAAGTGAAGACTTACTGTCATATTAGTCACTAAAGAAAACTTCAAGTATCAAATTAAATAAATGCCAAACATTTAATACTTCACCTCCAAACCTAGTAAATTGCTGGAAAATGCTATTATGATGACCCAAGATACCAAAAAATTCTTACATAGAAAAAATACACTTTAGTTAGAAAATCTTATATTCATGTATCATACATACATATCACATATGATATCCTATGAAATTTTATTTACCTACTTTCCAAGTGAAAACTTGGAATCTTAATATCAAATCTTAGGTATGTAAAATATTTCAAAAGTACTTTTAAGTGGCAACTCAAAACAAATTGAGTATTTTGAATGATTATCCTTTTTAGTTTAATTAAAAAAGCAGATTTAAATATCAGGAATAAATCTGACTTAATTTCACTCTTAAAAAATATTTAGAATAGTGTTCACAATCTTTTAAATGCCTGCTTCAAACAGTAGGRCCCATTAACTCACACTACAAAATTTTTTAAAAAAAAGCACAGTAGATTTATAAGAGATTTTATTGTGCTTCAACATTAATATCTGTTACTTTCTATTAACTTCACATGATAGTTTCTTTTCTATTTAAAAAAAGAGCCAACACAAAGTATTTATTTGGTGAATAAATAGTTTATGAATGCATACTTAATCACCACCCTGCTTCCCTCTATCTCCACCTTCCCCTTTAATAAAGATATTGCAAAGTTAAAGGGGAAAGGAAGAACACACAACATTGCTACCTCTTGATTTTGCTGTAAGCAATATATGCAAAGAAATGAAACAGACAACACATCCCACTGCTAAAGGCCTAAAAAAGCCAGCCCCAGCAAACTTAAAATATAAAACAGCCAATCTATTCCCCTATAGTTGGCTACTTTGCTTTCCCACTGAGCTCTTAACTTTGGGAACAACTTTTAACACCCCAAACAGTAAGATGAGCATTCTAGTAGAATGCTAAAAGAAGTCTCTCTCTCAAACAAAATGGAGTTATTCATAAGCAAAATTCTCCGTGTTCAAATCAGCCAAGTCACCTTAAGGTGAGGCAGCTTAAATAAAGCTGAGGTGACAATGTAATCTGCACCTACAAAAGTATTAATGGTTTCCTTCACTAAACTACATTTTGATTTTTAAAAGCATGCCCAGAAACCATTAAAAAAATAATAATAAATAAACTGTGCAGGGTCGACAGTAATCTCAACTGCTCTGCTGGGGAGGTTGAGGAGGAGGATTGCCAGTTCCAAGCCAGCCTCAGCAAAAGCAAGGTGCTAAGCAACTCAATGAGCCCTATAAAATACAATAAGGCTGGCGATGTGGCTCAGTAGTGGAGTGTTCCTGAGTTCAATTCCCAGCACCCCCATTTAAAAAAAAATTAGAATAAATTGAACTTCACAATATACCCACTGACATGTATGCACATATACCTGTATGTGTGATGAAAATCAGACTATAAACCTAGAACAAGATTGGCTACATGACTAATTTTTAATTTGGAAAGAGCGTCAGAATAGAATTAAAAAGACATACATCTAAAGTGGAAAAGAGATACGAGTTAAACTTTGAGGAGCCTTAAACGTGCAGATAGTTATTCCAAGAAATACGATCAAATCAGCAATGGTTTCCACCAAGTGTTTAYAACAACGTAAATCTAGTAATGCTCAGGTTGGCTGATTGTAAAGCAAAAGCCAAAACAAAACCAAACCTCTGGAAATAATTTGGTTACTGACATGACCCGGGTAAATAAATGATAACATAGCCATATGTGCTATCGCCTAACTTTTCAAAAATAATTTGCTACGATCGTACGTGTTGCTATGGAAAAACGCTTACAGATTTTCGCAGCATGACCGCATTTGTCCAACCGTCACACAAATTACTCTGAGCCGCCAAGATTCTCTGATTATTTTTTTTAAAATCGCACAACACTTCGAAATTCAAACTCCAAAATTCTCCTTTCTAGAAACCCCACCAAACACCCCACAGGGCTCGCCGAGGCCGCCCTGCTGGCTCCTCGGCGGAAAGGCGATCCCGCCCGCGGCGGTTCCCTACTCCACGGGCCCAACCTCACGCTTACATAAGCCCTCGGCGCCGGGGCGGGGAGGAGCGCGCCCGCTCGGGCYCGGGCTCTGGCGGCCGGCCGTGACCGCCGAGGGGGCGGCTCAGGCTTTCAGCTGCGCCCCAGGTAAAAGTGGGGGTCAGCCTTTTAAGAAAAAAGCGGCGAGCGGGGGCAGAAGGCGTTCGTCACCAGGACCGCGAGCGTCTCACAACACCCGGGAGCTGGACCGAGAACCCAGGACACGAGAACACCCGGCAARTGTCCGTCTTTCCTTCCTCGCGGGGTGGCCTCCTCCTCGAGGCTGCCTGCGTGAGCCCGGGGAAGACTGGCAGGGCCGCCTCGCGCAGCCAACCGCCGCCACCCAGGCCGGCGGAGCCAGCTCATCCCATTCCTCGGGGAGGAAGGTCGGGCGCGCTACCTCTCGGAGAAGCTCTTCACCAGCAGCCACACGATGAGCGGCAGGTTCTCGCGCTCGTTGTAGGTGGGTAAAAGCACCGAGTACTTGTCCTGGCGTCGGGAGCGCCCCTCCGGCTCCTGCCGAGAGCTGGCAGGACTCCGACGCGACTCCTCGGAGGCCATGGCGGAACAGCGCAGGACGCCGGAGGCGGAATTACGTCACGCGGCGCGGAACGTACCAAATCCCGGAAGAGGGGGGTGGCCTGTATGACTGAATTGCACTTCTTCCAGGCCCTGTGCGTGATTCAGTTGGAAGTAGGCAGGATTTGTGAACCTTTTAAATTGAGTCGGAAGACTTCTTCAGGAAATGCCTACCTATTTGTCTCCTTTACTCAAGTTTATGAAGTTGTTTTAGTTTATTCCAGTCGCTAGGAGACAGTAAGCCGGATACGGAAGTGCTTCTTAGGACCATATCCGGAGGGGGTCGCCATGGCTGCCAGGGAGCAGGTGCTCGCCTTACAGGCCGAAGTTGCCCGGCGTGAGGAGGAGCTGAGTTCTCTGAAGCAGCGGCTGGCGGCAGCTCTTTTGGCAGAACAAGAACCTGAGCCAGAACGGCTGGTTCCGGTRTCGCCGCTGCCGCCCAGGGCCGCCCTGTCCCGAGAAGAGATTCTGCGCTATAGCCGGCAGCTAGTACTGCCTGAGCTGGGCGTGCACGGACAGCTGCGCCTGGCTGCCGCGTCGGTGCTCATCGTGGGCTGCGGTGGACTCGGCTGCCCGCTGGCGCAGTACCTGGCTGCAGCCGGCGTGGGCCGCCTTGGCCTGGTGGACTACGACGTGGTAGAGATGAGCAACCTAGCCCGCCAAGTGCTGCATGGCGAGGCACTGGCCGGACAGGCCAAAGCCTTTTCTGCCGCCGCCTCGCTGCGCCGCCTCAATTCGGCGGTGGAGTGCGTGCCCTATGCTCAAGCGCTTACCCCAGACACGGCGCTGGACCTAGTCCGCCGGTACGACGTGGTGGCCGACTGCTCCGACAACGTGCCCACTCGTTATCTGGTTAATGACGCCTGCGTGCTGGCGGGCCGTCCTCTTGTGTCGGCCAGCGCCCTGCGCTTCGAAGGTCAAATCACAGTTTACCACTATGACGGTGGGCCTTGCTATCGCTGCGTGTTCCCCCAGCCACCCCCAGCAGAGACGGTGACCAACTGTGCAGATGGTGGGGTGCTCGGTGTGGTAACTGGGGTCCTGGGCTGTCTGCAGGCGCTGGAGGTGCTGAAGATCGCTGCAGGCCTGGGTCCCTCTTACAGTGGCAGTCTGTTGCTCTTTGACGCTCTCGGAGGGCATTTCCGCTGTATTCGGCTGCGGAGGCGCAGGCCCGACTGTGCAGCTTGCGGGGAGCGCCCTACTGTTACCGACCTGCAGGACTATGAGGCCTTCTGTGGCTCTTCAGCTACCGATAAGTGCCGTTCCCTGCGGGTTCTGAGCCCAGAGGAGCGTGTTTCTGTCACTGACTATAAGCGACTTCTGGATTCTGGGGCACCCCATCTATTGCTGGATGTCAGGCCTAAAGTGGAGGTGGACATCTGTCGTTTGCCTCATGCCCTTCACATCCCTTTGAAACATTTAGAACGGAGGGATGCGGAAAGCCTGAAACTCCTGGGAGAAGCAATCCAGGAAGGGAAGAAGCGTATTCAGGAAGRGGCTGCACTCTCCATTTATGTGATTTGCAAACTAGGAAATGACTCCCAGAAAGCCGTGAGGATCCTGCAGTCCTTAACAGCAGCCCAGGAGTTAGACTCTTTAATGGTTCAGGATGTTGTGGGGGGACTCATGGCCTGGGCTGCCAAAATCGATGGGTCATTTCCACAGTACTGAAGTGACTGTTGTCATACCTCAAAGATATATTTATTTACATCCTTCCCATAATATGGAGAAGAATATCTGACTACACGACCTCCTTTTTATAAGGAGCTTTTTGGTTGTAATGTAATATTAATGGATTATAATACCTTCTCTGAGAACCTTCTTGAGTTTTCAGCATTTAGGGGGTGCCTTGAACATCAGATATAATGTGATAGGATTTTGTGTTTTACTTTTTCCTCAATTGCACTTTTCCACCTCTTTAAATCAAAACTCTAAATCATGTCTAGAATTAAAATATATACTTAGTCTTACTGAGTTGATCACAGATGATATATTTGGTGTCAGTTTATTGTTAATAAGTCATTTCTTATTTGGGTCTTATTTCTACTTCAAATAATAGAATATATCCTACAGAAATAAATGTTTGATAAAAATATATTATTGTTTGGTTTGCTTTGAAATCTTCTAGTCTAGGCCCTCTTTTCACCCCTCCTCCTCTTATCTGCCTTTTCTGTTTAGATTTACTCTATTCTAGTATTTTGTAACAGTGTACAATGTAGGTGTTTTATGTTTGTTTACTTATTAAAATTTTTAAAATGAAATGGCAGATCATATACCCAGCTTACAATGTATACAACAAAATTAAAAGTAAAAATTTGGTATACTCTTGTATATCAGTGGCCAGCTGAAGAACACATGGCCTGTCAAAGGGGGGCTTTGACCCTCCATCTGCTTGTTGAAGGCAGGCCATAATCATCAGATTTTTTTTTTTCTATTTTAAGAGCAGAAATCACAGATGTAATGTGAACTCTCTGTATCTCTGGCAATAAATATAMTTTAAAAAAAAAGTTTAAAAACATTGTTGCAGGACAAAAGTCTTATACACTTAACACAGGCCAGGTTTATACACCAATTTGCAACCTCTGGTACAAAGTCTTGTTATTATGAAACGGTGATATTGTTTGAGAATCACATTCAGAATTAGAATAGTCATCACTTTAACTGTGGAACATTCTTTGAACTCATTCTTTGAACAGGTGTAGTCTTTGTCAAGAGATTGAAACAGGTCACTTTTGACTGCTTCTCTGGAGACCTCATTGAGACCTGGAGTGGAGCACAAAGGTGGCCAGCTTTTGCCCCTTACCTGTTGTTCAGGGGAAGCCGACTAATGCAGATCTGGAAACAGACTCCTGTCCTAACTTGGGCCGTTGTGGCTGTTCAGCAACAGAAGCTGTTAAGCTAATTAAGTGGGGAAAGGGTTTTTAAGGTGTTGGGAGATGCTTTTGAGACTTTTGGGGACAGACTTGAGGCTGTACTTCCAGGAATGATGATCAAAACTATGTGTAGAACTGGGCCCAGAAGAACAAACTGCACTGCCCCATCGAGCACTAGAGGAAATTGCGTCCAGGCCATCGTTAATCTTCCTAGAACCAGCCCCTCCTCTCTCAGAAGACTCAGCGTCTTTCTGCCACAGACCTTTTCAATGAGAGTTGCTCCGTGTTTTTCTTTTCTGAATCAYCCGGTCAGCAGAGCCAAGTCACATTCCTAATCCCAGCTGATTTGAGCCCCAATGTCTACGGTGGGGAGGCAGAGCTCCAGATCTGTGAAGACTGTGACAAGCAGGGTGCAGTGGCGCACCTATAATCCCTGCCACTCGGGAAGCTGAGGCAGGAGGATCACAAGTTCAGGTTCAGCCTCAGCAACAATGATGCCCTAAGCAACTTAGTGAGACCCTGTCTCAATATTTAAGAAAGGGTTGGAAATGTGGCTCAGTGGTAAGACACCCCTGGGTTCAGCTCAYGGTACAAAACAAAAACCCATTTGTATGATCATAATGTTCATATAATATGGATACTTTGACAACATTTTGTTAGAAATAAATGTTTAAAAGGATAAAATTAGTTTTAAAGATAATCATGAAAAAAAAAATATATATATATATATTTACTTGTAGATGGACACGATACTTTACAATATTTTCATTTTATTTCTTTATTTTTATGTGGTTCCAGGGATCGAACCTGGTGCCTCATGCAAGCTAGGCAAGCGCTCTACCACTGAGCCACAATTCCGGTCCATGAGTCATCTTTTAGTATTTTTTTTTAACTTAATCCACTCCCTCCTACCCCCGCTGTTGTTAAGGGTTAATTTATGGGTTTAATTCAGCCTGAAACACTACAGGTACAAATTTCCAAAAGTAACCATTTGTAAGCTTGTTTCTTTTACCCACTCCCATCTTCATTCTGATTATCATGAAGGTACACTCCAAGAAATTACATGTAATCACCAATTCATCAAAATACTACGAAAGGCAAAAAAAAATATAGATTAATTAAAAATGGAAAACACAAGATGCATGTGTTAAATTGTTGAAGCAGCTTTAGACCTCCCCCTGACCCTCCAGGGCCACCCAAATAAAAAAGACCTAAATCAGTTTGTGRTGGTTTCATTTTGCCGTGTGTTTGTTTGTTTTTCTATTTAAGCCTAAGTGTTTCTTCCAGCCTATGGCTGTGTTTTTGGCCTTTAAAAACTAGGAGATATGAGCCAGGTGCAATGACACACATCTATAATTCCATTGACTTGGGGGTTGAGGCAGGAGGATCACAAGTTCAAGGTCAGCCTCAACAGCAAGATCCTCAGCAACTTAGACTCTGTCAAAATAACTTATGATCCTTCTGCCTCAGCCTCCTGAGCTGCTGGGCTCACAGGAATCCTCCACTGCACCCATGCACATTTAGTTTTTAAAAAATGTTTAGGCTTTTAAAAGTAACTCATGCTCAGGAAAAATGATTAGATTTTCATGCTCCGGATAAAATTTAAGCAGTTGGAAAGTATGTTCATTAAGTGCTCTGAGACATCCAGGCTATATCCTGGGGCACAAGATCCATAGGAACAGTCCTCAACTGAATCAAGTCTGTAGTTTCATATATAATATTGCACCAGTGTTCATTTCTTAGTTCTTACAGACGTTATCAGGGATTTAAAAGATGTTAAACTGGGTCGAGGGTATATGGGAACTTTATCTTGGAAACTCAAAATTATTTCAAAATAAGAAGTTTTAAAATGAAAAATAATATATACAAAATGTGGAAGTCTTCTCTCTCATAACCCTTAGTCTTTCAAGGTCCTTCTTCAGACAAGCCCTGTAATCAGTCTTAATATGTTCTTATACAAGCATATTTGCACATATGCCTTTTTATGTTCTTGAGACAGGGTCATGCTACCTTGCCTAGATGGCAGTGATTCCTGACTCAGGTGGTCCCCAGCTTCAAGCTCTGAGTAGTTGGATGTACAGGCTTTTATGCCCAAGTCCAGTGACATACACCATTTTTTAATGTTTATTTTTGCATTGCTGGAATGGATCCAGGGCCTACTGCTACATTCCCCATCTTTACATATATATATTTAGTTGTAGTTGGACCAATACCTTTATTTTATTTTATTTTTTTTAATGTGGTGCTGAGGATCGAACCCAGGGCCTCATACATGCTAGACAAGCGCTCTAACCACTGAGCCACTACCCCAGTGCCCCCATCTTTATTTTTTGAGACAAGCTCTAACTAATTTGCTCAGGCTGGCCTAGAACTTGTGATCTTGGTGCCTCAGCTTTCCCAGATTGCTGCCTGTCCTACATGTTCTATTTAAAATGCAAATAGTAACATTCTGTTCACATTGTTCCCGAGGCTCACTTTTTGGTTCCAATTGTTCTCAGTTCCTGTAGACCAACCTCCTTTTTTTWAAAAAATATTTTATTCATTTATTTTTTAGAGAGAGAGAGAATTTTAATATTTACTTTTTTAGTTTTCAGCGGACACAACATCTTTGTATGTGGTGCTGAGGATCGAACCCGGGCTGCACGCATGCCAGGTGAGCACGCTACCGCTTGAGCCACATCCCCAGCCCCCAACCTCCTTTTTAATGCCATGAATACATGCTCTACAATTTCTTTAATCAGATYCTCATTAATGGACACTTTGAATTCTTAGTATTTCTGCTATTAGTAACAATGCTTCAAATAACATTTAAAAAAATTTTTAAAAATTGGTTCATAAGTTATACATTAGGATTTGTTTTGACATAATCATAAATGCATGCAGTATAGTTTGCTCCAATTAAGTTCCCAGTATTTACCCGTCCGTCCCCTCCTCATTCCCTGTGTCCTTTCCTCTGCTGATCTATTTACTTACCTTTTTTTTTTTTTTTAAAGAATTGGTGTCTGTGGATTTAAAAAATGGTGGGATTCACTGTCGAATATTCATATATGTTAATGGGAAAGTTAGGTCAGACTCATTCCTTGTTTCCCCTTATCCCGTCCCTCTTCTTTCCCCATCAATCCCCTTTTTCTATTCCCCTGATCTTTCTCTTATGACATTGCCCCCCCCCTTTTATTTTCTCTCTTCCCTCCAACTTTAGATTAGCTTCTGCATATCAGAGGAAACATTCAACCCTTGACTTTCTGAATCTGACTTATCTTAYTTCGTAGTCTAGTCTCCAGTTCCTTCCATTTACCATTTGATGAAAGGACATAATTTCATTCTTTTTCCTAGAGTAATACTCCATTGTGTATATGTATCACATTTTTCTTTATCCATCTGTTGAAGGGCACCTAGGTAGGTTCCATAGTCTGGTTATTGTGAATTGTGCTGATGTAAACATTGATGTGACTGAAATAATATCTTCAAGTTGCTGGGTGCAGTGGGCACATGCCTCTAATCTCAGTGATTCGGGAGACTGAGGCAGGAGGATTGCAAGTTTGAGATCAGCTTCAGCAAATTAGTGAGACCCTGTCTCAATGAAATAAAAAAATACAAAAAGGTCGGGCGGTGTAGCTCAAAAGTAGAGCACCTCTGTGTCCAATCCCCAATATCAACTAAATTAAATTAAATTATATATCTTAATTTTTATGTCTGTGTACAAATGCATTTAACAAGCGATACAGTGCTTACTCTGTGAGAGCACGCCTGGTTCTGATTTTGAATTGATTTTGGCAGCTCAAAACCCCCTTCTGAAGAGAAAGTATTAATGTCTACAACACCAGACAGGGCTGCTTCCTGCGCCTCGCCTACACAGTCGTTCAGACTTTTAGGCKTTGCCAATCTGATGGTTAAAAACGTTTTTCATGGTTAATTTGTGTGTTTATTGTGATCAAGCTTAAGCAGCTTTTCACACATTTAAAGCCTTTTCATTAAAAAATACTACATATTCTTGGTAGTATTTCTACCAAGTTGTATGTCCTTGATCACGTATATATACATATTATGTGTACATATGTGTACGATCCACTGTCGTAGGTCCGTATATATGGACACGTGTATGCGTATATATTACATAGGACTCAGACCACTTAGGCAAGGGGCGCCTCATTCTTTAGACATTTATTGAAAGACTGCTCCGTGCTGAGTGCTGATTGGGCTCCGAGCAAACGTGACGTTGGGGGCTGGCTGCCTTCCAGGGGTTCACAGCTCACTTTTGGCTTTATGGCACTCCACTCTTGAAGTCCTTCCCCACCTGGTGATGTCATTTAATCTTGAAAACTGAGTGAGATGCCAGGAGCCGTCTCCTGTTCACAGGTCCCCTGATGTGTCCTTGCCGACAATAGATTCCCCTGAAATAACCGAGCCGGCAGGGGTCTCTCCTCAAAGTGGATCCTGCCCCTAACGAGTGCAGGCTCTCTTGTCCCTCCAGAGCATTTTAGGAGACATTCCTTTGTGTTCTGGGTCCTTTTTCCGGCTGTTCCCAAGTACTTTATGCACCTAATCATCCTCAGACCCCCCCCACACACACACCTTTTGGAGCTTGGTGGGACATTGGGAGCCAATCAGCTACCCCCGAACAAGGCTAGTGTCCCCCTGTGCAGTGCCCATGGTCTCCTAATGAGGTCTCAACCACTTCAGTGCAGGGTTTTTGGTCTTTTTTGAATACATGGAGGAGTCAGGTACAGAATAACCGAGTCGTTAACTAGCTGAGGATGTTTCTGGCACACATTGTGAATTCCCGATGAGCGTTTTGAGGTTTTCTGTGTACTCACGATCACGTGCACACACACCGACGAGTATTTGAGGCGTGGTGTCACACTTGAGTTTCTAGGTTTAAAGCAAGCACGTGATGGGGGCTGGTTGGATTTCTGGAAGCCAGATACACAGGGGTGRTGAATGACCGCAGCGCTTCATACCTTCCCAGGTGCGAGACGATTTTGAAGTTTTGGTCACAGAACCTACGCCCCCATGAGTGATAAAACTACATAAAGGGAAAGTAAGGGAGGGTTGAGTAGAGCACCCAGAACACAGTTCCCTTGGAAGAGAGGAGGGACGGGACAGGGAAGAGGACCATGGGGTGAGGAGCCCACGATCGCTCAAGTCCTGACTTTTGTTGAGTGTAGACTGTAGCTCATGCACGAGTAGCAATGAGAACGTGTTCTATACCCAATATTCAAAAAGGAATTATGACTGGGATGGTAGCCACAGGATCTCTGAGGAAGAGAGCCATGAGATGAGTTGGGAAAAGAGCATCCCAGGCAGTGGGGACAGCAAGTGCCAAGGCCCTGAGGCTGGAGAGAACATCCCGAATTGGAACATGCGAGGGGAGCCAAGTTGGGCTGGAGCAGAGAAAAGAGAGGAAGGCCAGGCCAGGTCAGGCAAAGCGTCATGAGCCTTGATGAGGAGTCTGGATCTTAGTCCA